GGGGATGGTTTCAGTAGTACAGCTAATAAGACCATACCAATAACACAAAAACTGCGTCTGGTCTTGGTCTGCACAGTAGTTTAAGCCACATACATGAAATGTATGCTGATTCAAGTCCCCATGCTGTCGTCTTGCTACAAGTTTACTTTCCAACAAGTGGAATACATTGTTGTATAGTTATATAAGAAGTTCAGACTTGGGGTTCTTAAAGTTTATTTTTCCACTGTAGTACATGACAGCCATGTGATAGTGTGTGACTTACAATAAATTGTTCTATGTCTCTCTCCAGTCCTACGTTGGGAAGGTCAGGCATCATGTGACACACGACCTTGAACCCTGCATCCTTGGACATGTGGAAGGACTCGCACACTGCCTTCACTGTGTGACCTCTGTAGGGAAAACAGCACAATCTACTGATGAGGGCAATATATCAGGAACAGGTAAAGTTGATTTGTAGAACAGTGAAGATTTCCAGGAAGCACATGCACATGTGTACATACATGTATGCACCATCATACTATTGCATTTATATTTTTGCATTTGTAGCGGTAATCAGGACAAGATAAATTAAGAATATTTTTTCTTATAGTATAAGTTATAAAAACTACAAAATGTAAGGCCAAGACAAGATAATTCTTTCACTTTATGATGAACATTTCTGTTCAAGAATCAACCACGGTGATTATAAGTATTTGTTGACCATTACCTGTTGGTGTCTCTGGCCACATCCTCATACACACTCTGTACTCCTATCTCCAGCCTGGTGCAGCCATACGACAGCATGGAGCTCAGGTGTCTCTTCAGACAGTAGTCTGGTCTGGTTTCTATGGTGATCCCTATACACTTTGTGTGGCTCTTCTCTGAGTACCTGCAAAACAGAGTTATACATGTACCCAGCTAGAGTTAGCTGAAACAAGCACAGCTAAACACGTAGATAAACAATAGTTCTGTAATGAGAAGTAAAAAAGATGAACTGTCAATTAGAAAACAGACAATCTTCACAGGCATACAAAATTTTAAAATTCATTTTCTACTTTTACCAACCTACATGTACAAATCTAGCACAATGAAGTAGCCATTGGCTACCAGTTCTCTCTTGGTTACAGGGTTAGTCAGCAGGGAGAAGGTTAAAGACATACATGTACATGCACAAAATGCCTTTTCTTCAAGGGACAAAATTGTAGAAACTAGTTTTTTGTCTTTGACATCAAAGTAGGTCATGAACAAGAGACAATTAACAAATCCTGGCTCTTTGTTTTAGATATACTTGTCATCTGCTCACATGATAACAGGAAAAACCAGCATGTTTGTAATGATACTATGTCCTGTGACTTACTTGACAGCCTCATCCACACTGTTACTGGTGTGACCTGACAGAGCGTCGTGAAGGTTCCTGATGAAGTAGTCTCGGTAATCCTCCGCCAGCGCCATGAACGTTCCGCCCATCACGATAAACTCTACCTTATCCACGCTGTGTCCCAGCTGCTTCAACTGTGGACCAATGGTGTGAGAGTGTGATTGTAAGCCTAGGAATCATTTGCCCATTTGGAATATTGAGTTATAAACAGCAGTATTATGTAGCTAGGTAAGGATGTTCTGTGACCCTAAACATAACATCAGGTACAGATACAGGCAAGTATACCAGTACAACACTTTAAGTAGAGGTCTGGATGGGTGGAGTGAGGTGTCTATCCCAAGGATATGACATCTAGCCAGGCATACCAGGAAACAAACCTGTGCCTCTTGATCTTGGGACTGGTAGCCTAGCTACTCAGTTATTTGACGTACCACTTTTGATCAATTACTTGTAACATGTTTAATATGTTTTATGCCATATGTATACATGTAAGACATTCCAAATCTACCAGTATATGTTCTAGTCAATACTTAAGTAGTCAGAAGACAATGTAGAAAAACCCACCTGCTCGACTCTGTGTCTGGTCTGTAGGAATGGGTCGTACCTGGCACGGATGGCTCGCATTGACGTCGGCTGGACACAACCAAATATCAGACACATGTTAGCACAGGACAGGACTGTTTCATCTATGCATTACTAGCAGTACTAGTACTGGGCCATGTACTTCTAATCCATTATATTTAAATAGCCAACACTCTTTCTAAGGGGAGGGAGGTTATTGACAAAACAAAACAAAAAAAGATTTCTTACCTCATACCCTGTGTAAGACTGTGTCGAATATTCAAAGTCGGAGTCTGGGCCCCCTGGACAGTACCTGTAGGGAGAGGCAGAGATAAACATTAATCTGTACACCTGTATCATACACAGATGCAACAGAGACTAGTGATAAATTTCATTGTTGAAACATTGACTTGTCATAAAAGTATGTGAATCATCACTTACACACAGATGTTTCCTGTCATGTTGATGTGGGGACACCTATGGGGTTTGCACATAACTGCAACAACAGCTATCTGCAGCAGAAAAAATTCCAGAAAACAACTTCAATTTCTGACAATTTGACTTACACTATTTTTGTTTTCTAAAAATATTTTGCTACCACTAAAAATGTCAAGGTTTACAGTAGTAGTAGTACGAGTCATTAAAGAGAACATCCTATATTTACCCCACTGGCTGTTCGGACAGGCTTGGCCTTGAGTTTGGGGTATAAAACCTTCTTGTACGCCGGCGGGACTCCTGCGATGATGTCCACCAGACGGGGCTGGTTGGGAAGGCCATACTTCCTCGCTGTCAGACTCTTGATTCTGTTAGATACAATATGAGGAGATATGAATGTTTTCAGAGGGAAGACCAAGTAGATAAAGTTAAGAATTGTTTCGTTCATAGCAATTATTCAGTTATTTATCTGTACCTCTATAAAACTGGAAATATTGTTTTGGGTGGGTGGGTTAATGTCTGTATACGTTTGTTTGCATACAGTTGAGTGACAGCCTGCAGGTGGGTGGAATTACCTAACAACAGACTACAAAAGGTCAAAAATAGAATGTTAGGTCACAGCAGGAAGTCTAGATCTGTCAACTGGATGTCAGTGGCAAAATGTATAGGCTATTTGATAAAACAAGAACCTCACAAAATTTTTCTTGTTTTACTGTACTGAAACCAATCACATTTTTATATCATATAAACTTAAGAAAGATAAGAAATTGTCACCTGTTGAGATTGACGTCCTTTCCCTGCTCATGAGCCTCGATCAGCTGTTTGACGATATCAGACACGGTCAGGACCATTAACTCCTGGGGGGAGGCAGTAACGCCCGCTGGAGAATAAACCATACGTGCAGGTCAGCGGATGGGTTAACTTCATTCTTTAACCTTTACCCTGCTGAAGTAGCCTTTTTTTTGGCACCAAATTTGTTTTTTTATTAGATTTAAGTAGCGGGGTGAGGGTTACATAAGAGTTAGTGTTTCGTACTATGTAGAAATCTGTACAATGCAGCCAAATCATGTGAAGGGTATAACATACTTTGTTGAAAATTTTTAACTAGTACCTTGTCTTGTCTTTGTACCTTTGAACTGAAGTTATCTCATGATGTGACATATGCATATAATTACTGTAGTCATAGATTTAAATAGCAAAATATACAAAAGTAACACCCTCCGCACTGGTGTTCCAGTGCTGAATCAGCGGTCAGAAATTTCGTCAGCACTGGAATTCCAGTGCTGAACGGCTCTATTCCAGAGCTGAAGCCGCCTCAGCACTGGATAATCTTCCAGTGCTGAGTACCACTTCAGCTCTGGTATCCTAGTGCTGAGAAAGGAGGGCGTCACTTTTGTATACATGCGATTTAATATAACGCTATTATAAGTCTCATAACATAGTCGTCCCAACTCTAGCAGGATATTTTCTTTTAGATACTTAGTAGTACTAGGTGTCATATGTCTACTCAAGGAGGTTAAATACCTCCTTTTGGTCTACTGTACTATACTCGCCATGGCTATATCATGCCCCCCTCCCCCTTCACCCGAAAAGCAGGCCCCGAAAACATATCATCGGTGCTAATGTATACACGAGTGTTTAATAATAGTCTAAATGATCGTTAAATACTTCTGATAATGTACCTCCTTTCTTCTTGTTCTTTCCCATTCTCACGAGGTTGTCACGACGTCAAAGTTGAGCGGAGCCTCCATGCTATGTTTTTGGGCCGGAAATACGCATTGAGGGCAAAGGTCAAATACCCTTTATTGGGTTGGTGGAAAGAGTGGTCCGGTCTGGAAGGTAGAAAAGGCAGTCCAGTCTGGGCGTCTCACCAGAATACCCCGGTAGCGCACATCCACAAAAGCCAACGAGAACAATGACCTGTTCCACAAGTCACGATAGGGGTGTTTTCCGAATGATTACATGACCTGTAAAAGTTCTATGGTGTAAAAAAGGGCATCGTCACATACTATCAGATCTACTCTAGTCTCTACTCTCTACTCTACTCATGGCTACCAATGCAGCAAGGGGATCGTGAGTTACAGCTGCGAACGTACGAACACAACTGATTTCCGACACTGCGGAGGCTCCAGACGTTTATTGTGCGAATGCTATCTTCTACATTATTGGGGTCAAAGTGCACATAGTTGATAACAATGAACAATTTTCCTAATATTGTACAGAGCACCGATCTGTCATCGTTCCCGATGGCACGGGACATGGGGCAAGCGCACAGAGGTGCGTTATTTCTTTTGGTGACAAATCCTTCCGGAAAGTTAAGTTTCAATACGTTTGAGAACAATATGTTTTTGAGAACAATTTTCCTAAATTGTACAGAGCCTCTGCCATCGTTCCGCCGTGGGTTTTAGTAATTACTTTTAGTGTGGAAATGTTGTTAGTGTTTTTAAAGTCTAGTTTAAATGATGGGGTCATTGACATTGTTCTAATCAAGTAATTAATATCAATGCAGGGGTCCTTGACTGTGTTTTTGTTACGTGTATTTTTCTTCCCAAGAGTCATGATCTCGTGTTGTCCACTGTTGAATACCTCCGTCCTATCTATATTCTACACCGGTATCGCGCAGTAACGACACTAGTCATGACACAAATTTTTCATCAGCAGGTTTTATTCCCCAAGAGGGCCGTCTTCATCAACTGCAATATAACGCAGCTTTATGAAGGCCCTTCGTTTGAATTCCGTGCTCACAGTGGCCCAATGAGCTGGGAGGTGTCCAGGTCGGTGTTGATGTCCATGTTAGGACAGACCATGGGGAAGTTGCTACAGTCCTCCGGGTTTTGGTATACCTGGCAGCCGGGGAGGGCCGGAGGAGGCGTGGTCCTGAGACAACATAACGTTACATAGCCGTCAGTTGAGTCATGACTTATGTTGACTGTCACCAGAAGGAACCAGAGATTACAAAAGTGCATTTAAAAAACAACCAAAACAAACAAACAACCAAACAAACAATTATTGTTTTGTATGCAACTTTTCTCAGGCGGGAAAGCAAAACACAATGATAGTCTACTACAATAATGGATCTTTAAAAGATAGAAAAGACATCTCACTTCCTGCAGACGATACCGACGTGTCCCTCGGAGATAGGACTGATGCATTCGCAGTAGGCGCAGACGTCATCGGCGGGGGTACTTGTCCCAGTGCCATTGGGTCACCGTTTCCATACGTCATCTCCTGGTGTACACACTTCTCACCTGTAGTGAGGAGGGCATTTTCGTGGTCAGATAAGGGCCAGTCACATTGCAATTGGTCGTACCAAGGAGGTTGGAGAGAGAACAATAGTCGAACGATCGCAAACTGAAGGAATTATGAAGACAGCATGAATTTAATATAAAGGAAAAAGCTGCCTTAGACTATTTTCACTATTAATTTCAGCTGTTAGTTCCGTCACAGCCTGCTTGATGCATCAAAATCGACGAATGTGACCGCGCCGTAAAATAAAGATTTTAAGTGCATCCATAGCATCATCAATGATTTTCAGGATTATTGAACACTTTGTTCTGAATCCGGCTTCCATGATGTTATTTACCAACGGGCTGTATGTATGCATAACCTCGCATACTTTCTGTGTGCTATTTTTGTCTTCTCTTTAAATAACAGGTGTAACTAGTCCCACCGCTAACGCAAACTCAATTTCTAGACGATTATAGCCAAATCAGTTGCAGTGTCCTAAAGTATAGAAATATGAAAATTGGCAGGACAATCCAAGTAATGTTAAGTAGTTATTATGTACCTTGGAGAAAAGTCTTTAAAAATGGGTGTTATTTGTGGCACCTAGAACAGCTACAAAACGTCAAGGCACAACACAAAACGTCTGAGGCTTTCTTTATGTTGTTCCCCAGGATTGTTTTACAAAGACGGCATCACATGGCAGGGAAAAAGCTCGCCCGATAATTCTCCATCCTCAGTAACATGTCCTCTTACATCCACTTTCCGCTTGAGGCTGCGACCGCTGAGAGAGGAGACCAAGGACAGGCGCTTAACGAATTTCGTACATAATAAGAACGATTCTTTCACGTCTTGTGAATGTTGTTGTCTTTTAATTTATACACTAAATCATCCTGCATCAAATCTCAATTAGATCAAGGGTCACACAAATCAAATGTTGGTCGCCCAGTGATCACCAAACGCGTCTAGGGAAGGGGACCTCACCTGGCATGACTTGGTGGAAAAAGTCCGTGGCCACCGCCACCGTCAACAGTAGGGGGAGCACCAACAGCCCGCGCATTCTTACTCTCGGAGATTTTAAGTCGTCTGAAATGAGACAATCTTAAAGATCATCTTCTACAGAGATCAAATTTTCAGCGACCACTGTCGCCTTCATCAGGATAATTAATGACCAATCACTTCACAACGCTTTGCTATGATTACTACCAACACTGATGAACTTTCATGATAGATCATCTTCTAGTTTGTCGTCAAGGTGGACTGCCTTCTATTTACACGATATGAATTGTTGCTTGGTACGAAAGTGAAGAAATAGCAAATACAACTGTAACGTTATGTCAAATTAGCTATGTAGAGTACGACAGTAACATTGTAGAGCAACAGGGATCCTCGGACCGTATAGCTAGGCCTGTCAACTTTTCCGTATTAACTGTTCCGCCTTTTTTCTGCACCTATAAGCTTAAATACTTAATTTGAACTACCTTGTATATGCAATATCATACAGGGAAAATTTCAAATAGCTATCTAGAAGTTCCTAAGAAATTAAAACGTGCCAATACTGATCTTAGATACATCTCTACGTTTTGACGGTTTCTATTGACGTCAGTGCCCGTCATACATTAGATTAGTAAAAACGAGAAGTTGAGCAACAAGCTTACCTTGCCTCCAAGGTGCAGAAAGTGATAAAATATCTTGTGTGTGGATGTCTTTATATCTTGCGTGTTATTTATTTGTTCCTACAGAAAGTTCAACATCCGTGGCCAGGAAGAGGATATAACTGATGTGTAGATATCTACACCTGTTGTTTCTCATCAGTTGACCTCTTTCTGTCGGTCATTGGATGGAGACACCAAACATTAGTCTCTATCCGACCTTTTGGTGAACTGAACAAATGCAGAAATTGGCCAACATAGGGGGAACATTTTATCATAGGGCTTGGTTGATCATTGGAGTACAGATCTGTCTGCTTAATCAATTTTCTTGCTTTCTTCCTGGGCAGTTCAGTGTAGCAGGTATATTCACGTGTGTACTGCATTAAACTTCAAATTGCAGATTTTCTACATAAGGCCACACCAATTTAATTTGTTGGCCTTCGTATTTGCCCGCTTCATTTTTTATTTGCAAAAAAAAAAAGGATTCAGGTTCTGAATGAACTCCAAAATGCTCATATTTTGGTCCCAACAGTTGAAGTCCCTGCAGTTTTTCCATCTATCAATGTTGCAGTGGTTTGATTAAAAGTTTGATATGTATTGAATTACAAACCAGCCTGGTACTTCATGGCTCCTATTGTAGTATTTGGGACTATTATAGGATGCCCAGGCCTGTTTTTATTTTTTTTCACCCTGTCACTTCACATTTTTTCTGAAAAAACCTGAGAACCAACAAAAGGTGTGGCCTAAGAAGAAACATTGTGATTTATCAAATTACATTTATAAAGACCTTTGGCAAGGTTCACTGGTACACTAATGATAAAATACTCTAATGAACTGTATCTTAACATCATAATTATATGAAAACACATCATAGATACCCAGCCATTGTTGGTTCCCAAGAAGAATGTAATCTCATCTTGCCTTTCATCATGTACACAGTACAGTTGTACAATGCTGTTTGTAAAAGACAGTCGTCAGATACAACTGAGAGGCTTCTCCACAAAGGATGGCATGCCTTGGTGGCTTCCATACTGTATAGTAGGCTTCATGTACAAAACAATAAATTGAAGATCTTATACCTCCATGAAATATGTAGAGTTTACTACAGTAAGCATACTGTACTTTATTTACAAAGAACCAGGAATCTTTCCTTGTTTGCACTACATGTACTTTACTTCCATTCACAGATTGGAGTAATGTGCACCCATATTTAAACTTATATCAAGGTATAATTTACATGTGTAGAAAGATTACTAAAGATCATGTTAGCACTATCTCATTTCAAACTGTTGACAGGAGTGTAAAAGAGATTTGAGATCAGAGGTGTTTGATAGAAGAAGACTACTAGTAGTAATAACTATAAGGATAGAAAAGTATACATATTCTGACATCCCTACTCTTCACACTGCACTGTATTAGTCCTAAGGTTCTTGGATGTGCCTTAAGCTAATTTGATGCCCTTGAGGTTCTTCTGGTTCATGACGATCTTCTCTTGTCTTGAGGCTTCCTCCTTAAAGGCCAGTTTGTTGGCCTTTTTCTCTATCCTTCTCTCCTAGTGAGGTATCAGAAAGAATCACTGTCAGTATGTTGTGTTACACACAATGTAAAATCAGTAATATTTGTTAACCTTAGGCTGAATCATCTGAATATTTATGAACTTTTCACTGGGAGTTGACAGAGAGTCATCAAGACACAACAGGTGCATTTGAGATTGTAGACTTCCAGAAAGTATTAGGGATTTTTCTGACGTTCTGGTTCACCCCATTCCCTGTGTCTGACCTCCTGTCATTATGTCTTTCAATCTTCCCCTACCCATGAGTAGTCAACCAGCTCTCAAGTCCACCTCATTTCCTGTGTCTGACTCTTTGACCTGTCATTCTGTCAGTGTTCCCCTACCCACCTGCTGTCAACCTACTCTGTCCAGACAAACAGACACACAAGTCATGATAGCTCAGTCACCCAAAATAATACCCAGAAGTAACAATATGTGGAAAGCCAACCCACCCTTCTCTCTGCCTTCACAGCCTGTTTCCTGAGTTTCTTTTCTTCAGCTGTTTCTCCTTTTTTCCTGGCTGGAGCAGATCTTATTGTAATTTCCATCTCCTCTTCTTCTGAACTCTCTCCTTCTTCCAATCTATCCTGCTCCTCCAGCTGTTTCTTGGTGAGACCTTTACTCCCCAGCACACCAATGGGGATGCCACTTTTCTGTGACAGAATGATCTGTTTCCCCTGAAAATCATATACAATCAGTGTCAATTCTGATGCCTTTCTTTGTTGACTTTTTCATTTAACTTTTCAAAGCAAAAGACGAAAGCAATGTCTGATGTGACAGTCACAGATTTTGGAATTACCTTTTTTGGTTTTGGAGGGTCCTTAATCACTGTTGGGTGGTTGTATATGCTGGAGTATGTGCCTGGAAAAAAATTAACTCCACTTGTTAATACAATCTCAATCAGTACTCTCCAAACCCTGTATGAAGTGCTTTGTAGAGCTTTGGAGGGAAAGCTCAGGGTACATTCAAAGCAGATTAGCAATGTTGGCTTTACATTGTATTTTGGTATGATTAAATTACAACATGTATAACTGTTACCTATTGCCAATAACATTACAACACCATAAAAACACTAGAGCTTCATTCACACTTACTAAGGATGGATTCGCAATCCCACTTTTCCTTGGGTTGTTCTGTAACCATCTTTACTAACTCATCTTCTTCAGATTCCGATTCTGAAGATACCCCTTCCTCTCCTTCTCCCTCCATTCCTTCTCTCACAGGATCCAGTCTTCTGATAACACTGGAATCAACATTCAGGCATATGGCAAACAGGAAAATGTTACAAATCACTTCCTGGATTTCAAATTCTATGCATTTTTCAACAGGTACCCAAAAAGTAACAGACATGAATATAACACAAAATTGAAGACTCGAAAGAAGACAACCTTTCATATAACCTTTGAGCTTTTAAGTACTGAAACACAAGCAAACGCACAGAGAACAAGACCTCCAAACAAGGAGGTAAGGACACAACCATCACTGCATTGTAATGCTTTAAACACTTGTTGTATGTACCTTTCTTCTTTTTTCTTCTCGTATTCCTGTAGGATGTTGTTCAGCACAAGGCTGTCCTGCTGCACAGTGCCTGTCAGCTCCTCATGGTCCAGAGGCCCCACCTCATCATCATCATACTCCTCATACATCTGAATAGGCACAACAAAATATTCTTTAACTCTAAGGCTCCCTTTCCACCATACGGGGATAGCTGATCATCTAGAATTGGATTTGTGTGACCCTTGACTTTACAAACTGGAATTTGATGCACAAAGAAACAGTATGCTGCAATACACACCAAGTGAAAAAGTTCTTTATCTCCAAAATAAAGACAAGATCCTTAAGATGGGAACTGTCAGTCTGACTCTGGCCTCTTCCCTCATGACCTCAATATCATGAACAAACAAAGGTGCAAGCAAACAAACAAAACAATCAAACAAATAAACAAACAAACAAACAGACTCCTACCTTTTCAAACCTGTCATCTAGAAGAGTCAAGCCTTCGTTTCTTCTCATGACGGAGGATGTGATGGAGTATTCTGTGAACCTGGATTTGGTAGTTCTGTACGTCATCCCCTCACTGGACCCATCCTCCTCCTCGTCCTCTGACTCCATCTCACACTCGTCTGACGGGTACTCCTCATCTGAGCAGTCGTCTGCTTCTTCCTCCTTACCAGAGGGGCCTGCAGTTGCCATGGCGATGAAATCATCCTCCAGCACATTGTCAGGGTCGTCATAGTTAAAGTCGTCATCGAGAGCTGCAACAAGATCTGGGTCCCAGTCTAACTGTGGACCTACACGTGGAAGGGAAAAGTATGTGAGCTTCATACAACAAGGGCAGTTCCTGATACCGGGTACCTATGCATTACTTTCAAGCAACAATGCATACTAGTACCTGTACACCTCAACAAGGTTTGAAATTCATTTTTGGGAGTTGGTGCACTGGTGCAACTAACCTAACAAGTTACAACACCCACAGTGCACAGCTTTGATTTTGAGTATTTGTGGCCCTGTCTCAAACATAGTCCAGGATCTAAATAAACACTACCTTGAAGGTGTTTTCTTGTCCCTTACCTACAAGAGGTGCTGCCTTGTTGAGCATGCCCACATCCTCTTCCTGCTCAGATGGAAAGACTGATGCTGGAAGCTGTAGTTTGGGAGTTTCATCTAGGTGGGGCTGTGGTCATGGGGATATAAGAAATACAAGATTTCACATCTCTATCTAGAGTTGCTAGAAAAAAGGTGAATGAGAGAAAAATAATCTAGCGGAATCTTTCCTGACCTCAGTGACCTCTGCCCCTTTGATGCTGACCCTTGACACGATGGGTTCCAGTACTGCCTCCCCGGGTTCCTTCAGGTGCTGCAGGTAATCATACTCATCCTCAAAGTACACCCCGTACTTCCTCTGCTCCTCCCTCCTCTTCTCACTACTGGCCGAGACCTTGGGAACAAAGAACAAAAGAGTTAAAAACCAAGCTATAGGCTACAGCATGTCACTGTGGGATTCATTATTGGTATCTTGTCATTTGCCAAACTAGTTCACAGTTTGATGTGGATATGTGCAGTGTGATGCATTGTTGGTAAATGTCAATACAGTACTGGGGATATGTTACTAACAGTCAAAGTTGAGTCAAATGAGGAAATAGGTGTAAGCAAGGAGGTTCAAAAAGTGTAAGGTAAAGTGCCTATCCCAAGGGCACAAAAACGAGGCCTGCCAGAGGTTCAAACCCATAACTTCTTGATTCCCGGGATAACACTCTAACCTTTACATCACACTCATATGATACCACACATGTTAAAGTCACCTCTTGTAAGACATGTTGAGGTTTATCCTCGTCAGCCAACAATGGGTCTCTCTGACTCCGATGGACCAGGTGAAAGGTCACAGCATTCTTGTTGTCGATAAACTTCTTCTTCTTTCTCGGCTGAGGAAGCAAGAATCAGGTCAGGGTCAACAATATCAACAGAGCTTAGAGATAGTACTAGTATAGTGGAAAGAGTTAAATGTAACATCACATGTGTTTATGGCGAGTTATGGCTTCTTCTTCTTCTTCATTATAGCCTGGGTGCCAAACCCATAGCACACTGGACACGAAGTATCTGTGTCCAGTGTGCTATATGGGTTTGGCACCCAGGCTACTTCATTATGGCATGGCTACATGGATCATAATTGACATAAAGGAAGTATTGTCTCATCATCAAATGTTCCATACATGTAGCATACGAGCACGAACAAACACATGTATTTTATGGCTCTTTCCTCATAAACAGTTCTGCTCTGTCCCTCATGCGTTATTTCGTTTAAACAAGGATTATAACGTGCTCGGTATGAGCAAAAAAGCACATGGCTTTCAGCCCCCCTCCCACAAGTGATATTCGTGATTTAGAATAACATTGATCTATCACGATTTGCCAGTGTAAATACCATCCCTGTTGTAAATCAAATCCTTGCGCCTATGATGAACAAATCCTTACCATTTTTTGGCTTAAAAAATGCGGAGTTCAGCAGAAATCACGCTTCTTCAACCCTTGGCTACAAGTCGGTGCTCGTCTGCTACACCTGGATTAGACTATTACGCAGAAGGGGGTGGCAAAATTTCTCTAAACTCAAACAAGCCAGAATCGATTCAAAAACTTTTTAAGAATGTTTAGTAGTTACATTTACTTCATATATGATTGATTTTGAGCTGTTTTCGTTTTGTTTAGGTAACGCTAAAACACATTTATAACAAATTCCCTAGTGTGTTGAATGGACTAGCCCGGGATGACCTTCGTCCCGGAAACATGGCTGCCGCTGCGGGTGTGGAGGGTTTGTTGATCGACGTGGCCGGTGCGCGATCCCCTAGTGTGGTCAAGGAACATGACCAGGGCAGCCAGAGATATTGGAAAAGGTAAGAATAGGTCTTCTGTACCAGTTTTGTCTGAAATCTCAGAACATTCAAGGAAGAAAAGTTGGTCAGTTTCGCTTGAACTTTGTCGTACCGCGGTATACCGTGCCCCCCTCCCAATGAATTAAATCGATATACATTACAAAGCTGGAAGTTCCAGTTGTGCACAGTCTTATTGTAGACAATTCTTTGAAACTTGAAAATCTTTGGCGAAGAAATCATGTTTTCTTCTTAATATGAATTAACATGCTTAAACTTTATGGGCTGCAAACTATTTGTCCGTAGATTTACCAAAATTCTTGCCAAATATGTTTTGATACCATAATTTATTTCTTCCCATGTAACCTGATGATGCCTTTGTTGACAGAACTGAGAAGAGACAGTGGGTGTTGGCATATTTCATTGGCAATGCTATCCTGTATGCCTCCCGGGCCGCCATGCCAGTCTGTGTACCTGCCATAGCGAAGGAGTTCAGCTGGGATAAAACTGTGTCTGTGAGTAAAGTACTTTTCAAGTGCCATATGACACAAACAATCACTTTTGTTTATCTTAATTACTATAATTGACATTGTCTTCACAGTAGCATGTTCATGGTCTAAGGAAAATTGACATGTTCACAGAACTTAATTTTGACAGTGGCGGCTCAATGAATGAATGAACTACATGTCATTCCAACATCAATTGAAATTTGAATCAAGGAATGTTCATACAAGATATTGACAGATCCTTGACATTGTTTTGAACAGGGCTCTGTTCTGTCAGTGTTTTTCTGGGGCTATGCATCAACTCAGGTGTTGGGAGGCTACCTTAGTGACAGGTGAGTATAGAACAACTTGGGAGCCACACGCACAGCACCATAACAATTTCATGAACATTTTAATTTAACACTTGTTAAGCTACCTCTGGACCAAGAAGTCATGAGTTTGAATCCCGACTGTGTTGCTCACTACTAATTAAGTTGAAGACCACTGTTTGTTATACTTGTTGCAAAGAGCCAGGGAAACTTCCTCAGTAAAGTGAACCTGTAACTACTGTACGTATATCACATCTGTCATCTCTGTCATGACGAATGGAAGAGTAGCTCAACTGTTCATTGAGTTCTTTCCAGACCTTCATTTTTCCTCTTCCACCCCAGGTTTGGAGGTGAGGTTATCTCCATGGTGGCTGCTGTAGGCTGGGCCACCATCACCCTGCTGTACCCACAGCTTCTGTACCTCTTCAGCTCCCACGACACCTGCATCAGGTTTGTCATCCTGTGCAGAATCCTCCATGGGGCATGTCAGGGTAAGTCCTGGTCAGGAAGTATTGTTTTGGGTGGCTGAGTTGGGGGTTTGTCTCTCTGGCTTCAGTTTTGTAATCTAACCGATTAATATTTTGTTTGTGAGCAGCATTTTTGATAATGATATGGATTAAATGTCTTCCGTCTTTCTCATTCTAATTAATTTTGTGTATGGGTATAAGGTTCAAATGTTTTGATTATATATTCATGAATATGTATGGTGTGTGTCTTTCTCTTATGACTAAATTTTTTTCATAGTCACAATTGATTTTGTCATCGCTGTAATAGTAATACTCTGTAGCCCAGGACACACTCTGTTTCCTGAAATAACACTGATCAACCTTTAGCACACTTAATTAGCCATTTGGCTACCAACCCTCTATTGGTTATGGGGTTGGGCAGCATGGAGAAGGTTTTACTTTACTTGTGCTTTAGTTGCATGTACATATTTCTAGTGCCTTCCTCTTGACACAAATTTGTAATCCCAAAATAGCCCTTTTGTGTGGTTACCCTCAAACATTGATCTCTAGTACAAATTTCTTAATTTATCTTCTGTCAATTTTCAGCTTAAAGCTGTACAGAAATATTAACATGAATACAAAAAAGCAAGTACAGAGAGTTAAAATAATTTTCTGCCGCTGTGTGGAATTAAATAACAAGTCTCTATTATAATATAAACTCACCCCCTTCCCTCCAGGTATGCACTATCCGTCCTTTACTAGCCTTCTGGCCCATCGCATCAGAGAAACAGAGCGTGCCCTGGCTTACAGCATAGTTAGTGCAGGCTCACTCTTTGGGTAGGTACTATTATATGGGACTAGCAAGCTCCTGAGGCCCCTTTTCCACTAGATGGTGATGGCTAAGTGACCATTGAGCAACCAAAATTGGATTGGTGTGACTCTTGTTTTATGATTGGAATATGATGACCAATGTTTATACATGATTCAAAAGACAACAAAACACACAGGTGAAGAAATTCATTGAAGTTCATTGTCCAGCAGTCTCTAGTGGAAATGGGGTGCAACCACTGATGATTTGTCTTTGCACAGAACATTTAAAAAACCTTGGCTGAATGCTGTTTATATTTCTTGTTGACAGTACTGTGGTAGCATCATTGAGTTGGACATGATTGCTGTTTTGAAAGGAATTGCAATTGAATTAGATTCATGAAGAAAATGCAAAACATGGAAGAGTACAAAAAGAGCTTCTCGTGTTATGTAATCCTTCACTGGCTTAAAGCTTGCTATTTCATTCTACCAAAATAAGTGGATTGCAAGAGCTGTGATTTCTGAGTTCTTTGCAAAGACAAGAAGTTATGGTAGGAGCTTCTGGATTGGAACTTTTCCTCTCCAATGTGTTAATGTGGTGTTGCCTCCTCATGGCTGACTGTGTTAGGTGTGGCTTTTCCCGCCGAATCCAGCCTTGTAGCCAGAAATGTGAAAACTGACAGAACAGCCACGTATAGTATCATGCATTCTGGAATCAAATTTGGGTGAGTGCCCAATATTCTTATTGATAGAAATTTTGTATAATAATGAATACAAATATTTCATGATATCAATATTTTTTAAACATTATACATGTAGGGTGACAATAAACCGCTTGAGTAATGTTGTATATTTTCTCACAGCAAACTATTTACTGATATATAGTTTGCAAGATGTGTTAACTTCTCTCTTTGTCTTTGCAGGGCACTGTTGATGGGGTGTTTTGGCTCAATAGTACTGGTGCACTTGGGATGGCACACTGTCTTCTACACAACAGGCGTGGCTGGTCTCCTGTGGGCAGCCGTCATGAGAATATTCTTTGTGCGCAGAAAAAACATTGTGTCCATAAAAAGCCTGAACGGTTCCAATGATGAGAAAAAGAGGCCACATTTGCCCTGGAGAATACTCTGTAGAAAAACAGCATTTCTGTAAGTAGGAGTTATGGGACTTATCTTGAACTTAATATGGGACATATTTGAACTCATCATGAATAAATTGTATTAAAGAAATAAATTTTTCTCCTGAGATATGCATGTATATCTTATCAGATTATCACATCATGCTACCTACATTGTATATTTGTTACAACTATATGTTGATGGATTTGGTAGGACTTCAATCATGCCCTCAACAAAAAGTATGACAATTTGAGGATTCCATAAATAACAGTAACTCCAACAAACAAACAAACAAACAAACAAACAAACAAACAAACACAATGAGATTAAAGAAGAATATTCAGAAACATCTGATAAAGGTCTGTATTCAAATCTCATACAATATGTACAAATGTATTATGTAAAGCAAAGTTACTAAGTTTGAAAAACAATTTTGAACAGCAGTTTTGACATATGAATGTATTGTATTTCCCTGCAGCTCTGCAATTGTTGCCCATGTATGTAACAACAACTTGTTCTTCATCATGTTCTCCTGGATGCCAACATACTTCCATGAAACTTACCCGGACCAGAAGGTACGGTCTAGACCACATCTTGCCACCTGGTCCAAACTACTTTGATTTGTTGGTTCTCAGATTTTGGTAGGAAATCAATGAAGCAGGGAGGAAAAAAAAAAAAACAAGCTAACATAAAGACAACATATATGCTTTTAGTTACATTGTAGGTTCTATGAAATATAAAGACAATGAATTTGAAACTTTATTCAAATCACTGATTGCATTATGCCTACCTTGTGTATATTTGATTGCAGGGTTGGATCTTTAATGTGGTGCCATGGTTGGTGTCCATGCCAGGCAGTGTGCTGTCAGGGTGGATAGCTGATTCCTTGATAAGAAAAGGTATACTCGAATCCTGGTTCTTGTTAAATTAGCATTAGGTTGAGATTGAATTTGACTTGAGTTGACCCAAAGTGATGGCTTCATGCAGTTTGTATTCAATCTACAAGGTGGCGCTGTTAGTGTGTTGCAAGATAAGTACAGAATTCTCAACAGCATTGTACCTCTTCATTTCAGGAACAAATGTTACACTTACAAGAAAGATTGTTGAGGTGAGTCACATCTATACCACTCAAAATTTGCTTTAATGGTGTTAAGACACATATGTCCATTTTTATGATCCTTTCAATTCTGAACTAAACTACAATGTAGAAAGCTATTCTCAAGCAATACCCCATCCCTCCTCTGTGACTTCCTAAGATCACCCCAGTCCAAAATAAATACAGGACCATTCCAAATCTACTCCTATCCTATGAAAAAATGGACTATTCCAAAATCACACCAGTGCAAAAAAACCTTTTCCAAATTATCCCCACCCATTTTGCCAAATTTCAGGTCATATGAGAGGAGCTCCAAGTATACATGTGACCATTGTGTCCATACTTTGCATCCATCCTCCAATACTGCCTCCAACACTGCCTCCGGCACAAAAATTGAATTTACCTAAATTTCTGGCTGCTCAAATCCACTAAGTTTCACAATGACTTCTACCAACACAAATGCACTTTCAATCAAAGACTGCATTTATACACATATGACATTTACTCTGTTTTGTCGTCCCATAGATCGTAGGTATGGGAGGACCAGTTATTTGTTTACTCCTGACAGACTACACAGACAGCTTTGTCCTGGCGTTGATGGCTGTCTCCATGGGGATGTTCAGCCAGGCCTTCCACAACAGCGGCGTGCTCGTGGTGCCGCAGGATATCGCACCCTCGTTTGCAGGGGCTGTCTTTGGTAATTATCGCTACAGTGTATCATGGTTGTGTAGTTTAGGCCATTTCAATGTTCTTCTTTGGTTATTCAGGTAGTTGATATCATGCATTGATAAGCTGGTTCACATATGACCTTGTGCATGGCATCAACCAACTTAGTATTGCTACAATTCTGTAATTTTCCGCTTGAATTGACTGTTATATTTTGTTGTTTACATTACAAGTACATGTACTATGTAATGTCTAATGATAGGACTAAAAGAACCAACAAAGTGACATGCAATGTAAAAGATTTGTGACACTATTAGTTTTGACTGACTGTTTTTGTGATACCATGTAGGACTGACTCAGTGTGTTTGCCTTGCAGGTGTCATGAATATGCTGGGTGCCATTCCAGGTGAGCAGCTTCCTACAGGCATTTGGGTTGTCCTCTTGGCTCGTCTTTGTTAACAAAGATTTATGAATGTTATAAGTCATAAATGGCTTTTGGGTATACATACATTTGTACAAGTATATTAATAACAGTGTTCTTATAGGAATAGCAGAATTAGAAAATTAATGAAAGGGAGATAGAGTCAACATACTGTTAGGAGAATTGAAGAACCAAAGAGGGAATGGGAAATATCAAATGAGAAAAACACTGTCACTACACTGTCATAGCAAAGGGAAATATTCCAGTGTAAGGGGATATTCCATTGCTTAATTAACTGCACTAATTAGTAAGTCTCTTGGGTTGCTTATTATATAGGACTGGTAACTAGGGATTATATGAAATTGGAGTTATGCATAAAGATATAATCCACAGTTCTGTAGACACATGGACCCAATGCTGGCACAGTGCTGTACATGTAATAATATATCTAAGGCCTGTTTTCCACAAGACAGCAATCACCAAGTGACCAAAATTGGATTTTCATGTATGTGACACTTGATTTTATAATTGGTATATGATGCAAACTGAAAAGATGTGGTTCAAAAGACAACAAAACATGCAAACTATTTAAAAAAATTGCAATTCATTCAGCGATCTGTCAAATCTTTAGTTGCAAAGGGCAAACAATACTTGCAGCATTTCACATAATCCTCCATTATATGACATGACTGTGTGTCATCCTATGGCATTGTGCAGTGAAAACAGATATCCTTGACGATCCAGCCTTGGGCTTTTCTCAAAGATGTCATGACATCTGCTGTTCAAGAGGTCTTGTAGACTACTGCACTACTGTGACTTGTGCACATATCAAATACTTTATAATATCCTTTGTGTTGTCTATACATAAGTATGTCCAAGGCATCTTGAGCTTCTTCTGAACATCCTCCTCTCATTCATCTCCAAAGGTATCAAACATCATATGGAGGGTCTAACTACTCTTAATGCATATAGAGCAAACATCACAAACTTTAGTTACATCACTCATCTGATCAATCAAAGTGAAAAATCTTTATTCTTGATAAAGCAAGGATCTTTCAAAGTCATTCTTCATTCATATATATATATATATATATACAATGTGCCAGTTATTGTGACTGTTCCATTGTGAGTGAAATTGGTGTTGTAAAAATGCTATGGATAAGGAAAATCATTTAGCTATTAAAATTAATTTGGGTATACCATGTTGTGATATAGGCCTCTATGTTTTCAACCAGTGTAGTGGTGTTTCTTTCTGGGGAGAACCGTTTGAGCCTTCCTAAATCTTCCGGGAGAGGATGCAAGACCCCTTACTGTCCTCAACACTCTTGCACCTCATAAAGTTGGCCTTCCTTATGCAGTGGGAAAAATTCTGGTGAGAACCCTGGCTGTGATCTGTATTCCATATTTGTGCCTTGGGAATACACACACATTACCCAGAGGTACAAATGTACATCTACCTTCTCCAGTAGCTGTGTATCATCATTCCATTTCTGGCTGGTGACGCACATATACATACATGTTATAAACACTGATAGTCTTAGACCATGAAACTTGGTACACGAAGCTCCTGTTCTTATCTGTCTCTTAAGTAATCCTGGTCATCCTTCATCGTAATACTCCATAGGCCCTGCTGTCATGTCTATTGCAGGGCTCAAGATGATGACCCAGAAACTTGAAAGATGATCACGATTTTCTTTAATGGTTATCTCCCTTTACTACACTTTAAGTCCCTGTGGACTTGTGACATCCTGTAGGAAAGCTCTATGGATCTGACCCAGTGGCACTGGGAAAACATCCCCAACTCCCACAGAGCCCTGTCACAGTAGCTTTATCCTTGCTCAAAAGTACAGCCTCAGATTGCATCCAGAGAAAAAAAAAGATAAATCTTTTATCAGTTGTTCTAGTTCTTTAATGCTTTGTGATGGGAGGTATTGTAGAGCAATAAAATGTAAGCCACTCCCAATTGCAGAAGGGATCAGGAAGGTTACTATAAGGTTAATTGGCCAGCTGGCTCCAAGCCTGTGGCCAAACCTAGGAATTATAGAATGGGACCCTATCATCATGAAAGGTACACGTATATGTATGGAACTCTGTACTACTATTGAATGTAGCATGTGTAGTCCAGTGGTTAGTGCCCATCTCTGGACAAGAGGTTGGAAGTTCGAACCAGCTCACTCGACAAACACACTACTGGAAAGTAGTCTTAGTCCTTAGGATGTGACATTTAGCCATGGTCCAACTGTTCATTGTACTTGTCAGAAGGGAAATTTCAACAGTACAATATGAACCTGTATATACTTTACCTAGCCTACCGGTATGTCTTTTTTGTCACAACCAGTAGAAGAGTATCTCAACTGTTCATCAAGTTCACTTGAGCGAAACTGGTTCAAAGTCACTTTCATTTCCTTATCTGATTGAAAAAGTGCCATTTTTTTTCTCAAGAGTTTACAAGCTGCTGCATCAACTTTCATGTGGCAACGTTTGTAGTTTTGAGTAGATGTCTAGGAAAGATACCAAATGCATAACACATTCAAGTCTTTGCTTCACAATTGGTTTTTGATAGTACCCTGTGAGATCTTGATGATAACGAGTTGTAAAACGATTCTGTTAAACGTCATCTTTTGTTTGTACAGGTGTTGTTGGTGTGTACCTGGCTGGTCACATCCTGGAGCTAACAGGCAGCTGGGCAGCTGTCTTCCACATGACGGCTGTTATCAACACCTTCGGCCTGCTGGTGTTCTTGATGTACGGATCAGCTGAGAGAATAGTGTGAGGCTGAAACAAGACTGGAGAAGAACAAACACTGATATTTCTTAGGTCCCTTTCCACAATACAGCAATCACTGAGAAAACGAAATTAAGATTGTGACCCTTGATTTTCAAATTGAAACATAATGCACAATGCAAAAGTATGATTTGAAATACAACAAAATATGCAAAGTTTGTACTTTATCTATGAAATTGGTTGAGTGATCAGTTTTGATCGTCAGCCTCTAGTGGAAAGATGGTGTAATCAGTGTTCTCCCCAGCCTTTTATAGACTTTCTTACAATATTGAGAAAGATCCATGTCTTTGCACCTCTACACATTCCATGATGTACAGTTGTTGTACATGTACGTGCAATAAGTGATAATAGACCAATCCTGACTGTCCATCACAATTAGCAGTTCAACCAATGATATCATGGCAATTCAGGGTTTGACCAATGAAAGAGTGGCCACATGTCCATCAAATATTTGCATTTCTACATTTTGAAGGAGGTGGCCTGGGCTAGGGAATCAGTTTGTTGTACACTGCCTAAAATTCCTTGC